GTCAGTACCTGAATTATACCAATTGAACACTGGAATCGTGAGCAGTGCTTATTTTCTAGATAAGCACTTTCATGCCGACTCGGTAATCGAAAAAAATCCATGGTTCCGATTTCATCCGCGATTTTTTTTCCATAATCTAAATGATAAGATAAAGTCCCGGTTCAATTTATAACGGGAAAAAAAACTGTTGACTGATCTTTATTTTTTGAAAATCTTGCCTTTTTTTGCAAAAAAAAGTTTCTATTTTGAACATTCCCTTGAAGGCGATTAATATCATAATTTCATACCAGGTGATAGTACACAGAAAATCCTCGAAAATGAGTCAAAAAAAAGTTTATTTCATTCATTCTTGATAACGTTATCGTAAAAGCATTGTTTTCGAAAAAACTAAATATCTCAAGAACCTAATTTTTTTTCTATCTAAAATTGACACATCACAATTATTGTTATGTCTACTAAATTCGTTTTTTGCTTCCGAACGAAAGCTTTGCAATCGTCCGATCCCGACCAAAAAAAAAATCTAATTTTGTTTAGAAACAATGTGGAACAGTCTAAAATGTGAAAATACAAATTTTTTTGAGAATGTCTGTGCGTGGCCTTCCTTGACCAGGGGTGATTTTTCGTTAAGAAAAGATATAGGTGGGTAAAAAATTTTCAAAAATTTGAAATGTTGTCAGGGGGCAGATAAGAGTTGAGGCTAACTGTGGACGACGATTCAACTCGATCGGTCCAGCCATTTTTTAGAAATTGTAATTTGTTTATAAATGGTTTTTTCGAAATATCTCCAAAACGAATCAAGGTATTCAATTTTTTAAAATTTCATTTGCTTTGTCATGGTTGGCTATATTGGATTCAATCAAAAATTGGAAAGTGAACTATGGAAAAAATCATAGTTATGGTCACTTTTATGTTTTTGAAAAAAAAAATTTGTACGCACTCTCACCCACGCAAAAATCGGGCTATTAACTTCAAAATCGGAAGAGGTCGTCCTTTTACCACCACAAGGGATAGTATTGAAAAAGAGAATAATTGAACGATTAGTTTCAGAGATATTTAATTCGGAGAAGGCACGATATATCCGCGAAAATCAAATTAGGGGCAAAATCCACTAATCTAAATAATTTAAGGGGGACCTGAAATAATAAGACGGCGGGGAGGTCTCAATAATTACTCGGGGGATTTAGGTAGATTGATTTTTAATATATTCTAGTCTCCATAATGCACAGATGTTAATACAAAAAATTATCCAGGCCTTTTGACTAATCACTTGCGGCTACGCGAAATAGTATAACATAAAAAAAAATTAAGGGGGAGAAGTTAATGGTGCAAGGCGGGAGAAGTTAGGGGACCGATCTTCTATATTCTTACAAACTACGAGGGAGGTGGGGGTTTCGCGGAGAATAATTAGTACAGCAAATAAAATAATGGATAGAGTGATTGTTCAGAGGCTCACCGTTAGGGGAAATGATTTTAAAAAGGGGAAATTCGTTGGGACAGGGGATAAATGTAAGGGTACTCACAATGTTGGCGGCCAATACTCAACCAATGACCCTCAACTCTTTGTTTCTGGACTTTTCCTCCTTTCTTCCTTCTCCAGACTTCTCCACTCCTGGATCTCCACACTAGTCAAAATCTCCAACACAAAGTCTCTACATTATCTCTTCACAATGAAATTCTCCTACGAACAATCTCTTTTCAAAAAACACTACTGGTCACGGGGCAGCTATCACAAGTGATGACTGCCAGTTATCTTCACACCTTTTTCCCCGATTTTCGGTCATAGTCGGGGTTAATCGGTGGCACTCGTCATCGACTGTCCTTTTCTTTTTAATTATTCCTTGATGGTCAGTTGAGGGATGTCTCTTTCTTTTCCGCATTACGTGGTGTCCAGTCTCTTCGTGGGGGTTTTTCTCCTTTTCGCCAGTCTGCGATGAGTGCGACGGCGAGGGGAAACGGGGCAGGCGGAAGGAGTATCTCGGGAATGGGTTGTTCAACGGTGGCAACAAAGAGTAACTTAAACCTAACTTAGCCTAGGAAAAATAATAAGTATTAATTAGGCGGCACGGGGGGGGGGGGCGAAATTCTGCCTCGTCACAAAGTGTAAAATAATTATGGGAAATAGCTCAAAATTAACTTGACCGAATTCATTTTGTTTTATATGAAAATTTTCATCTCGATGTGCTCTGGTATAATCAATTAAAACATATATACTCGTCTATTCAAAATTTTGGAGATATTTCGATTTTTTAATTTTTCAGTTCAAATCGTTGTTCGCTTTCTCACCCGCATAAAAATTGAACTATTAACTTGAAATTTTAACGAGATTTTACATTTATCATTGCAATTGATGGTATTGAAAATTAACATAATTGAACTATTAATTTCGGAAATATTCGATTTTGAGTGTAAAATGATTAATTCCCCTTAATTGAGTGTGCCAAATTCCTGTTTTCATATCTGAAAGCATCAAACAGTTAGTTGTTTTTGTTAATTTTTCTATTTGGATCTATCTACATTCTTAACAGATATATGGTTATGGTTATGGTTAAAAATACGGATAGGCATTTGCTGCCCTCTTGTCACCGAACCCCTACTGGGCTATTGTGACTCCGTTGTCCTTCTGATCCCTATAATTCTAGGCCAGCTTTTCTTACCAGTTTTAATAGATTCCCGGCGTCTAGATCCGCTACATAGCTGATGCTAGGGAAGGCGGCTCCCCAGTAATTTAGCCTTGTTGTAGCCAGTGCAGGGCAGCTACAAAGTATATGCAGGCTGTCCTCGTCTGCCTCAAGGCATAGTCTGCAGCGGGCATCGCTTTCGATGCCCATGTTTTTGCAGTGTGTCCTAAACCTACCATGTCCAGTGAGGAGCCTGATTGTTGTGCTCAGTTCCTCTTTTTTCATGTTGAGTAGTTTTCCTGCCCTTTTCTTGTTTAGGGTTGGCATGAGGGCTTTGGATTTTCTGCAGGTTGTGATCTGCTCCCATCGCCCTTGGTGTTCGTTCCGAAGTTTATTTTTAATTCGAGATATTCCGGTCGCGAAAGGGACTCCCACTGTCATGG